ATTTACCAAATAATATTTACTAAATAATATTTAATATTTACCAAATAATGTTTACTAAATGGTATTTAATATTTACCAAATAATGTTTACTAAATAATATTCACTAAATAATACCTATTTACTGAATAATATTTTCTAAATAATACCTATTTACTGTATAATATTTATTAAATAATATTTATTGAGTAATACCTATTTATTCAATAATATTTACTAAATAATATCTATTTATTAAATAGTATTTACTAAATAATATTTACTAGATAATATCTAAATAATTAATATTTACTCGAAACATTAAAAAGTCATCTTTCACTTTCTTGAGAGAAAACGAAACAGCTTTCCAAACAACATTTATAGTAATCATGACTTAGACAGCAATAAATGTGTCCACACGCGCGATTTACGATTCTCAACCAGGTTCTCCGATAGAAGAAAAATAATGATAGATCTAGCGAGTAGTTAATTACTTCGTAAAAGTCTACCGCACGTTCTAACGTCAATCTAAGTCTTTTTTAGAAGCAGACTAAGTAGATACAGCTGTTAGAATTTATTCGAAATTTATCGATCACAGTACTATGTGAAAACTCTTATTTTTAATAGTGCTAGTGACTATGGTTTAATATCGTTTCTACCTATATAGTATAATTAAACTGAGTATTGCGTACAAGATTAATAGACCGCGGATTTTTATGCAAGATAAAAATCGTCTGCATTTATTCCAAGCTGCAGGAACTGTACAAACATTTCTTTCTTCTCTTAATAATTTTAATTAGGTAAAAGAGACACGATATAGTATTTTTATGTCCTTCGAAAAGATGTTTCCTGTTTTGTATTCGATCTACTCGTCCCTCTCATAGTTGCATAAAATCCGCCGTCCACCGATTAACGATACAACACTCGTATAAAATTTATGTAACCAGAAAAAAATTAATCTGAAACTTTCATATCGAATACTCGTTATTTCAGGGCAAGAAGATAGCGTTTAAAAATATTATATATATAATATAATATATAATATAATATATATAATATTATACAAATATTATATATATTGATAATATATAATATAATATATATAATATTATACACAAATATTCTATATATATATATATATTGATAGCTACTACTTTCTCGCTCACTTTCTCGTTGTCAATGTATTATTTTCAATTGAAGTTGACATTCACGTCGACCTGTACCAAGCTCTTGTAAAATATTCGGTAGGATTAAATCAGTGAATGCATTTTTCATCATTACGAACATGAAAATACTATTAGAAAAAAAGAGAAAAAAACGACAGTTTCAACACTTTGAAAACAAAATCCACTGACACACATTCGTGACGAAATTCACTGAACGAAGTTTTTTTTTTTTTTAATTAAACTCGTACGCGGAATCTACATTTTTGGTATAGTTGTCCTTCAACGACCGAAAGCTATGAGGAAAAATGTTGCTGCGCGTTTCTCGCGTTTTTTCGCGGACTGTGGCGATTTAAAAAATTCCGCTGCTTGTTGGAAAGACCGGCATAGGCCATGCAGTTTCATGGTTGCACCAGATTCGGTAAATTAGTACGTAGATATGAATATTATCTGATGTTTCGAAAATAAACTTCGAATAGGCTTCGTACTATGTGTAAACGAATAGATAGAATTGAAGTTTCAATATTTAAGTACTGCAAAGACAATAATATTTAACCCTTTGCGCTCGAATGGCGACTCTGAGGCACCATTAACACTTTATCGACCGCTAGCCTATTTATCGGCTTTTCGATTGCCAATGCTTATCGACCGATAGCCTATTAATCGACTTTTAGCTATCGACGGTTTTCGCTTCTTTACTGTTTTGTTAGTAGCTGACCTCCTGTATGCTGACCTCCCCATATCCTTATGAATTATAATTATAATAATTATATTATTATTTATTATTATTTTTAAAGGAATAAGCACAACACAATGAATAGCGAAAATTTAGCCGGTACTGGGAGCAAATGCGGGCGCGACTAAGCCAGTCCTTACTGAGTGGCAGCCTCAACCACGACCGGACGATAAAGTGTTAATATTTGTTATATCACGTATTAGAATAATTTTGATATTTAACAAAGTTTACATTTGAAAAATTGTTATGAGTGTAACACTGTTACGCGAGTCCCAAGAGTCGATTTTCATATAAGCATAAAATGCATTTTCTAATATAAAATAGAAATACTGTAAGTTAGAAAAATGATTTTATATTTTCAGTTGAAACAGCTTCGAGTGCAAAGGGTTAATGTAGATTAACCCTTTGCACTCGAATGACGACTCTGAGGCGCCACTAAAAATTGATATGCTATTTTTCAAAATCATTCGAAGAGCATCAAACTCGTTTATACTTTAAAAAAGACTATTAAAATTGCATTGTACTTGCCAATAGGTCCAATTTCATACGCATGAGTCGCGATAAATTATATAAAATAGAAATACTGTAGATCAGAAATTATGTTTTGGATTTCGAATTCAAATAGCTTCGACTGCAAAGGGTTAATCATATAGATACTCAGCTTTACTCAGATTACTCAGTACTCAGCTTTTTATTCATGTATGCATATTTTCGATTAGATCAAACAACTAAGACAACGCGATCGAATGCATACAGAATGCATTTTTCAAGCATCATAAACTCCTGAGTATTCGTTTCGTCCCTTAAACCTGATCAATCGAAATTAAAATCCAAGAAGACACTGATGACTGACTAGAATAAACGACTAGATCATGTCAACTGTGAAATAAGCAAGAATTCAGCAAAGACGTTAACACTCGGCGCGGCGGACCTTATCGATAAAAATATAATTTATTACGCTTAGACTTGTTTATCATTTTCTAGACACGTCAGTTTGTCTACAAACCTCAATGAATAGACTGCGGATTTTTAAGGAAAATGAAAATTAACTACAAGACACAGAAGCTGCACAGACATTCCTTTCATTCATTAATTATTTCATCGAGTTGAAAATAATGCACTAGTATTTTTGAATTCTTTAAAAATTTCCACTGTTTTGTATTTGATCTACTCATTTTCTGTCATAAATGCATAAAATCCGCAGTCTATTAATGAAACGTGTGACAACTGAAATTATCTGTCACAAAACTCGATGGTCAAATAATAATATTTATAGTCTGGGTCCAAATGGACACAGCCGTCCAAGTGCTAACTCAAAAGTACACCTAACTAGCTAAATCTTAGGTGTGATAATCCTCCTCGCAGCGAACGATTTCTCAACTATTGAAACACTCCATGTACACAACTACAATTAGACACACGAACTGATACCAGTGAACCACCGCCCCGATCACGAGCTACATTCTCCAGCATTAAACGAATTATCGAAGAATTAGACAGTGGACTCAGAAGAAGGAGAATCCAAGAGACGCTGATCTATATTTTCTACGGTCATTAAAAAATTCACCTAGATCGACTGAACTCTAAGATCGAGTCGCCCTTACTAGAAATCACTCTTACCTAGATACAGAGACTCGCGAAAGTGTTCAAAACACCGTTTAAAGCGGTACAACATTCTTGAAATTACACCAAACGGTTTGTGGTTTTTTTGAGATGTTGAACGGACCAGTTTAGTAGACAATGATGACGAAATTTTTGTTGTAAAAATAAGTCTATGTAAATTGCACGCATGCTGAGAACTTCATCGAAATTGGTTGAGTTGTAATTAATTCTTGTGCTAAATAGCGAAGAGTTGTGAGTAATTTTAGTAGCAATGTGAGTCAAACTGAGTCACAATTAATTATTATTTGCTAATAGCAAAGTGTAACAATAGAGTCATTGTTATTTCTTGCTTCTGATTGCAAAGTGTAACAATAGAGTCATTGTTAATTCTTGCTTCTGATTGCAAAGTGTAACAACAGAGTTAGAATTAATCCTTGTTTCTGGTTGCAAAATGTAACAATAGAGTCATAGATGATTCTAGCTTCTGTTTGCAAAAAGTGCAACGACAAAGTCATAATTAATTCTTCTTTCTGATTGCAAAGTGTAACAACAGAGTTAGAATTAATTCTTGTTTCTGGTTGCAAAGTGTAACAATAGAGTCATAGATGATTCTAGCTTCTGTTTGCAAAAAGTGTAACGACAAAATCATAATTAATTCTTGTTTCTGACAGCAAAGTGCAACAACAGAGTCGCAATTAATTTTTGTACTAAAGCGTAACATCAGGGTCGTACTTAATTCTTGCTTTTTGTAGCACAGTGTAACAATAATCTAACATTAGTATAACATTTATAATGTTGCATCTACAATACATTCTAACGTACAGACACTTGTAAAACTGTCTACATCATCGTCGCAAATGCTTAAAATCTATAGTCTACTATAACGACAAAAACGAAACCTTTAAAAAAGAAAAATCTGTATTTTATATTTTTTTTATTAACATTCCAAGTGCTTACAATTTCTTAAAAATTGTCTTAAGCATTCTCTAATAAACCAGCCCGTCTAACATCTCAAAACAATTCATACCATTTCGTCCAGCTTTAAGAAATGCCTTCCATTCGAAAACAACTCGAAACGGTTATTTTCGGAGCTTTTTGCAATCGCCGGCTCGAGCACTTTCGCGCGATCCACTGTAGAACCGCCCAAGGACAGCGGGGATGGAGGCTGTTCAACAGATTAATTCGAACTTCTACTTTAAACTGGCGCCAGGAGAGCTTCGGAGACCTATCGGCGACCTATCGTCGCCTGTCATCTAAGATTTCCGCGACCTTAGAGCCGATAAGGGGTTCAGCCGTCGCCTGGGCGTGCTCTCGGTCGAGGAGGCCGAACTTTTGTTTTTCGATGGCTTCGATTTGCTACTCTTCTCTTTACTAGTGGCGGCCGAAGAGGTTTTCACCGATTTCCCGAGCTTGCTCGCGGCAGCGTCCGAGCTGGTGCTCGTCGACACTGTCGCCGTCGGTGTTTGCTTATTTGCTGTAGTCAGGTGTTGGGATTGGGATTGGGTTTTAGGGCTTACTTGTACCTCACAGGGTGGCGGCGCGCTTCTGTACGACGGCACGATTTTGAAGGTCACTGATCCTCGTGCTTCACGCTGCAACAGAAAGCGGAACTGCTGAGTGAAACACACGAAAATACCAGCTGAAAGCTGTTCGGTTATGATAGTCGATGGTTATTTTGATGGTATATATTACGATAGTCGAAGTACATTATTGTTATAGTATCACGATAGAAATTCTACTGTGTTTCGAAAATGAACTATGTGTTAGATTATGCAATTTCATGTTTCTGGTAGTAAAGAGTAACAATAAAGTGATAATTAATTCTGGTAACAAAGTTAAATAGTAGAGACATAACTAATTCTGGTAGCAAAGTGTAACAGTAGAGACATACCTAATTCTGGTAGCAAAGTGTAACAATAGAGTTGTAATTAATTCTTGTTTCTGGTAGTAAAGCGTAACAGTCATAATTAAAACAAGTAGTAAAGTATAGCAATTGAGTTGAAATGAATTCTCGTTTCTGGTAACAGTGTTACAATTGATTCTGGTAACAAAATGTAACAATAAGGTCATAATTAATTTTGTAAGCAGAGTGTAACAATATTCATAATTAATCTTGAAAACAAAGTGCGAATAATAAAGTTAAAATTAATTTTGTAAGCAAAGTGAGACAGTATTCATAAATAATTTTGGTAGCGAAGTGTGAACAATAAAGTCACAATTAATTTTGATAGCAGATTGTAACAATAGTCGAATTAATTAATTCTGGCGGCAACGTGTAACAATAGAAACAAAATTAATTCTTATGTCTCATAGCAAATTGCAACAATGCATTTAAATGCAAAATTGCATTTATTACTCTAATAAATAGGCAACAAATCTTGAGACAATCTAAAAATTGCCTGCATCACTCACATTTTTCATTGCACATTGTTCGTTTGATGATTTCAATGAGTCGAACCTAATGCACATATATTTATAAAATAATTGAATCTTTCTACTGCATTTCGGTCACGAATGCTTCAAATCTGCAATCTACCATAATCGTGAAAATAAAAAAAAATGCCATTAAAATCGAATATATTCATAATTACTTACAGAAACAAGACATTCTATTTTCATTTCCACTTTGCACTACAACTTTGAATAAATTACTCCAGAAATAATTCGTCGTACAGTTTCTGACAGAAATAATTCACGAATTAAGGAAACGACTGCTACGACTGCACGTATATTTTTATAAAACACGTAAAATCCCGAGATATTAAAGAAGTAAGATTTCGTAAGACTTCGCGTTAAAGAAGTAAGTAAGAATTCGTGATATTCTAATCAGTTTAATCTATAAAAAATATCCTTTAATGACGACATAAAATATGTCTAAAGAAGCTCCGATGCGCTGCCGTGAATACATAGCAGCATATTTCAGGAAGCTACGGAGAGTTATCCGAGCGATCTGAACGCGAGTCGTGAATCGTATGAATTGTTCGATCGTCGCTATATTGACGGCACTTACGAGTATTTTTTGCAACGCATTGACAGATTGATTGGCCACTGGTATCCCGTTAATTTCTCGGATCTCATCACCGACGTGAAGAGTCGCTTGTCGGTGTATCATTCCACCGTGCATAATTCGTGCTACCACGCATTTGCCATCTTCGTTCATTTTCAGAGTGATCCCCTGCAAACCAAGCATACGATCATTATTACATCCACCCTGAAATTGTGTTCGGAATTACTCTACTCGAACAATGTGTGTTCGCTACGGTTTAATGGCGCGTCGTAGGATGAAGAACCCCTCCCCCGTCGCCCCTCTCACACACGCAGAGAAACGACCGTGCATAAAACCGGCGTTATGAATGAGATTGCGATAGTAAACGCCACTATCTTTTTTCCGCAGAGTCGAGTCGACGCCTGTGCATTTTATTGGAAAAGTTGCACAACGCCGGAACTTTATTCGAATGAAGCGCGATTGATTGAACATTAATAAAACTCTTTATGCGCATTAATTATAAAATAGAATGTGATTACGGAAATTTTGTTCTCGATTAATATTACTGCTCGATGACTGGACTGTGAATTTTATGAATTTGTGACGAAAGCGTGCGGCTGAAAATATGTGAAATTGTGAAAACGTACGAAGAATGTAATAATATTTTTATGCTGTCTTTAACTTATCGAAACTATTAAAACTATTTATTGTCGTACAATTTGTATTTCTCGCGAGCTTGTTGTTTATTTTGCATATTTTTATTTATTATTATTATATATATATTTATTATTATTTATTATTATATTATTAGTATATTATTATTATATTATTATTATATTGTTATTATATTATTATTTATTATTATTTATTTATTATTATATATATATTATGTATTAGATAACACTGTATCTACAACTATATAGGGCGTCCTAAAAGTCACTCGCAATCGGGAAATGAGGATTCCCGAAGTTATTCGAAATAACTTTTTCCTTAGCGCGAATACAATCCGCGGCTTCGTTTCCGAGTTATTAACGAAAAACAGCGACCAATGAGAAGCGAGATCAGCTGGCGCGAGGCGGTCCAAGCCAACGGGCGGCCGAAGTCCAGTCCCGCTTATTGGCTCGGCCGCCTCGCGTCAGCCGAGCTCGCCTCTCATTGGTCGCTGTTTTTCGTTAATAACTCCGAAACGAAACCTCGGATTGCATTTGCGTCAAGGAAAAAGTTACTTCGAATGACCTCAGGAATCCCTCAGGAACGATTGCGAGTAACTTTTGGGACACGCTGTATTTAACATTAAGCGTAACATGCAAAATGTCCGGTTTCACATATCCTACTTAAAAATTGTCGAAGTTATAAAGATTCTTTCGTTGGAAAAGATTCGATAAATTTCTTAATGCAATACTACGATACGAATGATGGAAAGTGTACATTCGCTTCTGTCTTATTACCGAATGTATTTCTTCATTTGGACACATATACAGTGTTATAAAAATTCTGAAAAATGTATCATAAATTCAATCTTAGAATTCGTACAAGACAATGCACGACAGTTACATTTAGTGCTCGTTAGAAAAAGCCTAATTGAAAAGACAAGAAACTGTTCATCGAACATGGAGATCGAAAGAATAATTCAAAAATTCGAAGAAAACGGTTCGCTCGCAGATCAAATTAATAAACAACGTCATCGTAATGTTTTCTTCGGAACGAGGGCTACGATGTTGTCGTTTACCAACTTTATCTGCAAGCGAACCACTTTCTTCGAATCTTTCAATTTAAAGGATAATTGAAAAATTCGTTTTCGATTTGCATATTTCGTTGGACAATTTTCCCTTCCACATTCTGTACGAAATTGTCTTCCAACTTCCGCATAACTTTCACCAGATTCTTAATAATTTTTAACAAAAAACGGGCGTTGTCTCGTCGTTTTTGTTCATCGCAAAGTTTCGACTCGTCACATGTCAAATAATATTATGGCAATCTGGTACGAAAGATTTAAGTAATAAGTAATACTAAATAATAATAATAAATAAATAATAAATAATATAATTATATATAATATAATATTAATATATTATACATAATATAATAATAATAATAGTATATATTATTATTATATATTAATATAATATTATACATAATATAATAATAATAATATATATATATATTATTATATAATATTTATATTATTATTATATATTAATATAATTATTATTATTATATATTATATTATATATAATATAATAAAAATAAATAATAATAAATATTTAAGTAATACTAAAAAAATGGATATTTATTATATGGAAATTTATTATTTATTATGTTTATTTATTAAATAAGAAATTTATAATTGGTTGTACCGAAGAGAAAAGTCCGACTGGAAGAAGATCGGAGGAAAGATCTATCACAAATAGCTATAAAATATCCGACGGGAACACGTTCGAGTTACGGTTAGATTTATGATTACTAAAAGAATCGTCTCACCATCGGCTCATCGGTGTTCTTCTGGAACTGGACCAGCCTGACACGCGTCACATTCTCGAGGTCTAGATCGCCGTTCTGTCCCTCGAGATCATCGCCTCCGTTTAAATATGGAAGGAGAGGCGGCGGCGTCACCCTCGTGGCTTCTTCGCCGTAAACTTCGTGTCCTGCTACGTCGTGCGCTTGCAACAACGCCTGCAACAAGAAACAACAAACTTCTGAATTCGCTATCATGCCCCGCGAACTACATACCATCAAAATTACGTGAACGTACGCGAACGCCTTCCGAGTATTCGCGGAACACCGACGATCCGCAAAAACTTCGCCCTAATTCCACCGTAAAAGCGTTTCGGTCGTTATAAACATTAATCTTCCGAGATAAAATTATTTTTAACAGTAGATTTACGGAGCACTGAGAGCAGCTGTTTTCTATGGGTTTATAAATGTAACAATAATACATTTGCTCCGATTTTGAACGAGTTTTATTGTAATATTCGTCGCGAGAGTCACGTATTCAGAGTGAGTCCTGTAACATGATCAAAAAATCTTATAAAATATTCGTTGAGAGAGAGAGAGAGAGAGAGAGAGAGAGAGAGAGAGAGAACGAAGAAATATTTCGGATAGAAGTTGCATCATTTACAGGGTGACACATCATTCTGTAATCAATTTCACGTTATTTCGTTGGTTTATCGAGGTACGAAGGTCATTTTCAAATTTTTATATGGAACGATTCACATATTTCTTCCCGAATTCGGATAAAACATTAAGTTCCACGTAAAAAAATATTATACCAAATAGGGTCTAAAATAAATAGTTACTTAATTATCTCCACTGGTGTTTCATTCATTACAGAAACAAATTGCTATTTCATAAAAATAGTAATAAATTATTTTGAGCAACGTGTGCAGTAATTGGACTCCGGATTTTATAAAATTCTGAAGATATAAGAACAATTTTATAATATTGTTAAACTATTTTCGACTAGTCAAAATTATAAAGGAGAAACAATTTATTTGTATTTAATTCTTGTCTCTTACAATCGTCTTCGAAAATAGTATTTTGCATAACTATCCAGCAGTCCAGTAATAATGACAATTATATTATGCAATAAATAGTAATTTCCTTCGGTAATATACCCGATCGAAAAATTCAAAAATTATTTCGATAGCATACACTACTAAGTCCAACAACTTTATTAATAATTATTAACTTTATTAATTATCATCTTTATTAATTGCCATATTATCTTAAATAATTGTCGTTATTTTAATAGGAACTATAAATTTAACTCCTTTAGATACACTTAAGCAGTATGATTATATATATATATCTCAATTTAAGTATAAATGGACTTAGGCCATTTTCAAAATAAACGGCTCATATATAAAAACTTAGGAATTTAAGAATACTGTCGCATTATTTTTGATATATTTACATTATCGAATGATGAAATACATTTTTATCTAACTTCTGCTTCTTACAGTTAACATAGAAATATTTTATTTTGCATAACGATCCGCAGACCAGTGATAATAAATATCTCTTGGCGGAAGCATCTGCGAGTACACCCGCAGCGGAAAACTTTGTTTGTTTTTCACGGTCCTAAAATTCATATCTAAATTTTGTCGATTTAACCCTGCGACACCCTCTACAGTAAATGTTTGCGATTGAGATAACGTCAACAGGAACGTAACACTTGATTGCGACACATAGACGGTCAAGTGCCACTTCAAACAAGCTATTTGCACAGGCCGCTCGAATTTGCGGTACAATCTTGGCCTTGGTGTTCCAAGTTTCTGTCCAGACACGTCTCGTACCGCGAACTTCCGGAAACTACTTCAATTATACGGATGAATTTGCGGGCTCCTGCTTCGCCGTAGTTCATCCCTGCCTCCATTATACGTAATTAAGAGCGTTCGAGCCGTCATGAGATACAGCGTTGTTCATCGATCAGGAGTAATGAACGCCCAAAGATCTGCTAAACGCCGAAAGACCGCGCAAAATTCGCGTGATTTAGTACCGCAATTAAGTCCTGCAAATCCTAATGAAAATGGACTGCGGATTTTTTGCAGATAATAAAGAAATAATATTAATTAATGATGTACTAATATATAATATCTGATACATAAATATAATGATATAAATAAAAATAATAATAGAATGATATATTAATATATAATAATATATATATTAATATATCATCCCATTATTATTTTTAATAATATTAATTAATTAAAATTTATATAATATAATAAATAATCAATAAATAATAAATATAAAATATAAATATATATATATATATTAATATATCATTCTATTATTATTTTATATATGACTATGTATATTTTTTTATATATCATTATATTATTATTTTATATATGTATATGTGTATATATATATATATTTTTTTTTTATATAATATCAATATTTTTGAAACATAAGAAATGAGATATAATTTATGAAATTATATATTTTATGATAGTATTTTATTTAAACAAAACATGAAGAAGGTCGATACACATAGAATATAATTACTAGACTACGAGTTTTTATGCAAAATAAGAATTCTTCGCATTGGTTGAGAATTGCAGAAGCCGAATAGACATATAATTTCAGTTTTTAATTGTAAGATGCAAGAAAACGTGTGTACGTATGAAAAAATTCAAGAAGCTTTTCGTTTTACTTTAACGAGAGAGAAGCTTTCCGACAAAGGTAGCAATCTGTCTTTCGGTGCAGTTTTCATAAAATGCGGAAAAAATGGCTTCGGAATGAAGAGAGATGTCAAAAAATCCCAGAAAACTCAATTATAATTAGACCGGGGATTTTATGCATCTACGATGAAAATGAGTAGCTGCAATTTAATTAGGCCGCGGATTTTGTGCATTTACAATGAAAATGAGTGGCTGTAAATTTAAAATAGTGAAAACTATTGAAGAAAGGAAGAATCTCCAGAATCTCCTCTTCTTGTCTCTTGCAACAGATGCAGAACAATTTCATCTTTCACAGAGGTTCGCTGTTCAATAACTTATGTCTGCATTATAATTTAAGATGGAAATAATATTCATATATTAATACTTCATTTCACACATAAATAATATATTTATTTTAATTTGGTACTTCTCAGGTTTGCATTATAAAATATATATTTTAAATGCTCATTACCAAACTGCGGATCTTTATGCAAATTAAAAATGCCCTGCTTTGACTGCAAGATGCAGGAGCTTAACAGATATTTATTTCTTTTTTCTTTTTTAATGAGCTTAACGAGTTCAAAATAATACGATAGTACCTTTAAATAGTTTAAAATGTTTCCACTGTTTTTGATTCCATGTATTCATTTTCCTCATTACTGCATAAAATCCGCAGTTTAATTATTGTGTGACATTAATTAAGTATTTCTAGTAGCATTTCGTTTAATATAGAAATAAACTACTATTTTTCATAAGAAAATTAATCAAATATTTCTACTCCGTGCTTGACATATTTCTACCAAGGTAAAGTTCATCGATTTCTTGAAACGTACATTTTTAACGCCGGAACTAGTATGCCGGCCAAAAAATAGCCGGTTTCAGAATAAATAATATATTTATTCTAATTTTTAGTATTTCCCCTCTATATTATAAAATATATACATATATTTTAAATACTTATTATACAGGGTGTCCCAGGTTTTAATGTTCAAACTTTGTCAGTATATTCTATGGCACAAAGTAAGAAAAAAATGTTGTGCAAACATAGGTCATATAGAGCTTTATTAAGAAGTTATAACAAAAATTCGTTCAATGAAATGAAAGAGAATAGAAACGAAATTCGCACGGTCATAAATTCGATCTTCGATCGATGTCACTCACGTATTTTTCAACAACGGTAGAAAATACATAGCATTCGATTTGAAAAATTGAAGGTCAGCTTCATTTCTAAAAAAAAAAACTAATGCAGACCGAAACATATTACGGACACCGTTACATTGCTTGTAAACAAACAGTACATCGGAATAATTAAAATATCAAAAATAAAGAGATTTTATTATAGCAATCGCATAAGTACGAACAAAGAAAAGAAGGAAAAATGAAACAGAAGAGAGAAAGAAGAAACGTCGAAATAACTGCATATACAGGGTGTCCCAGGTTTTAATGTTCAAAATTTGGCAAAAATGGCACAAAGTAAGAAAAAAATGTTATGTAAATATAGGTCATACAGCTGTCTCTTATACACATCTAGATGTGTATAAGAGACAGGGTCATATAGAGCTTTATTAAGAAGTTATAACAAAAATTCAGAATAGGAATAGTAATCAACTAAAAAAAAATAAAAAATAAAAAAAATCTTCGATCGATGTCAATCATGTATTGTCAACAACGGTTATTAATACATTTCGAAACGTATTAATAACCGTTGTTGACAATACATGATTGACATCGATCGAAGATTTTTTTTATTTTTTATTTTTTTTTTAGTTGATTACTATTCCTATTCTGAATTTTTGTTATAACTTCTTAATAAAGCTCTGTATGACCTATATTTACATAACATCTTTTTCTTACTTCGTGCCACAGAATACACTGACGAAGTTTGAACATTAAAACCTGGGACACCCTGTACATTTGTAAAATCAGTTAACTATTTCCGCAAGTATTTCACTCGATACAGAAGCAAATCACTATTTCATCGAAATCGCAATCAAATATTTATACTTCATAGTTGATATATCCAGGACGCGAAGACGAGAATCGCCAAGCTGCGACGGAAACTCCGAATACATACATTTCCGTTGATCAAAAATATTTTACCGGTGCTTGAACGCCGCATCGTGAACGTGCGCCTACAATCTGGCGCACAGCCGCAGCCAATATTTGACCACGGAGACCTAATTAGTCCCGAAATACATATCGCCGTCCGTTAGAAAAGAAAAAACGCCGGAGAACTCGAACGAGAACGGTGCCCCGCCCCGCGTGTACACAGTTTCGTCCTAGATTCTTCGCGTTAGAACGTCTTGACCCGAATGCTCGGGTTTCGAAAAAAATGTAATTCAGTTGCTGGGACGGAGCGCAGTCGAGTGCCGAACCGCGGCCATGCGAGACGGGACGCTTTATTTATTCAGCTGACGAAACCTGAACGTAAACGAGGGGCGCACGCGACGACCCTTGCCGCATTCAGCGGCGGTTTGCCGCGTCAATAAGACCGGGCCGATTATTTATTACTGAAACGACGGTAACTCTTGTTTGGAGTGAAACCCTCTCGGCTCGGCGAAGAGGAAACGAAGCGAGCAAAGGAGGAAGGAAGGAAGCGGCCACAAAGCGAGAAGATCGGTGGAAGAGGAAGAGGCGACAACGGTGTGTTCTTTCACCGATTTCTCGGTCCCTTGGTCGTCGTCGACACGTTCAGTGGATTCTAAGCCGTCCTCAAGCTCCCTAATGAGGGAAAAGTCACGTCGGTTGACTCGAGAAAGCGGAAGGCGAAACGGTTCAAGTGCGGCGACTGCTCGTGCCGCGGCGACACACGATACGATAGGGCATGTTGTGCGGAACCAGTACGTTGCAAAGTGTCGGAATAATTCCCTGGAATGCTGCCAATGTCTGAAGAGGCTCGTCGCCGCTACAACTACCGCGAGGACGATCGCGTTTCGATCACGGTGGTCTCTTGGGAATTCGCTTTCTGCGACCAAAATTATTTTACCGCCGTTTCAGAATTTAAGGATACGGTTAGCGGAGCCGATGGGGTGATCAATTGCCGTGTCTTCGATTTGTTTCCGTTCATAATTAATTTTACATTTATCGTGTAAGACGTGATAAATCTTTTCTATATTAACCCTTTGCACTCGAGGGCTCCGGAGCGGAGCCATTTAAAATTTGTCTTCAAACTCGAGGGCTCCGCTACGGAGACAATGCAAATAATTTTCAGTTTTTAACATAAGAACAAAAACAAATCGTAAAAATTAGTTATAGGATGTTTCGCTGTTGGTGACAAATGACGTTTGTATCCATAAACAATTAAAAAAATAATAACATACAACGATGACTTTTCTTTTAATGCTTATATCATGAACTTACATGTGAATATGATCTTTTCACTAAAATGGCTTCGAGTTGCTGGTAATATGACTCAAAAAAAACTTCGAGTGCAAAGGGTTAAAAAGAACCAACAAAATCAAAGAACACGCGTTTGTAATTTAAAGTGCTGTAACTTTGCGAGAAAAAATCGTAGCGGCTTAATTCGACCCTCAAATTGAAGAGGAAAGTCCGAACTTTATCATTGCGATGTCGTGTAAAAATAATATAAAAAATATTATTCAAAGTCCACGGAGGGCGTTAAACTCTGCACTTTATCGGTATCGTGAACATGCTCTCGGATTTAGGATACCATAGTCACGGGGACCCGTGATATTAAAAATTAGAATATGGTATCGTAAAGTAGAGATTTCGAGCTTTAATTTGAAAGAAAAGTCATGATTCTATGACAGTTTTTAACGAAGTTATATATGTTCAAATATTGACAATTATTTGGCCAAGAATTAGCGATGCTTTAATAATTCTGCAGTGCATTGTATTTCAAATAAATAAAACTTAGAAACGTCTGTTTAAAATCTGTGTAAATCGTAGATGAGAAAGTTAGCGATCCGTCGTCTTCGCGGGTTCCGTAAACCCAGCGTTAAGAATACAAATTCGCGGGAAGATTCCGCAAAGCGATCGTCGATCGTGGAAATCCGGAAACCTGTGGACATTCGAAGCCAGCGGCGGATATATCGATGGAACAAGGAGCGGATGATAATAAAACCGCGCGCATGTTTGTCTGTCCGATAAGAATTGCGAACAGTAAGTCGGGAACGGTCTCGTATTTTTGGCGAACAGTAGTAGCGCCGCAGAAAGCGCCGGACAGATATATGGAACAGAGTGAAATACGACAGCGCGGCAGCGGGGATACGTTTCGTCCTGGTGCTCGGTTACTTGAAATCGAGCCAAAATCGTCACGCGGCTCCGCTTCGATAGCCCCGTCGCGTTTCTATTTCCCGTATCCCGCGAACGCCTAATCTATATGTAAATTCCACTCGGAGGAAAGCATGTGTGAAGTGAAACACGCGAGACCACTGCGCCGCGCCGAGCCGTGCCGCGCCGCGCCATGCCGAGTCGAGCCGAGCCGAGCCGAGCCGAGTCGAGTCGAGTCGAGTCGAGTCGAGTCGAGCCACGCCGCGCCGAGCTATGCTGTGCCGCGCTATGCCGAGTCGAGTCGAGTCGAGTCAAGTCGAGTAGAATCGAGTAGAGTAGAATCGAGTAGAGTAGAATCGTGTAGAGTAGAATCGAGTAGAGTCGAGTAGAGTCGAGCCGCGCCATGCTGAGACGAGTCGAGTCAAGTCGAGTAGAATCGAGTAGAGTCGAGTAGAATCGAGTAGAGTCGAGTAGAATCGAGTAGAGTCGAGTCGAACCGCGCTGCGCCATGCTGAGACGAGTTGAGTCAAGTCGAGTAGAATCGAGTAGAGTCGAGTAGAATCGAGTAAGGTCGAGTAGAATCGAGTAGAGTCGAGTAGAATCGAGTACAGTCGAGCCGAGCCGGGTCGAGTCAAGTCGAGTCGAGTCGAGACGAGTCGAGTCGAACCAAACCATGCCGAGCCGAGTCGAACCCAGTGATATTGAAGCAATTTTCTCGAGGCTAGAAATTAAATGATCTGATTTTTTATTACATACAAGAGGAAAAGGGCAAGCGTGTTTGATTGACGCGTCACAGTTGAGAAAACTCTAACTCGCACGTGTCGCGGGACACTGTGTTCGCCGACGGAAGGTTAGTACTTAAATGAAGCACATTGTACTTGTTACTTTGGGAAATACTGTTTGGAAATGTTGTTTCATTAGATGTTTAAATTGTGAGGTGATACTGTTTGCTGATTACACTCGGATTCAAATATAGAGTAATGTATTCGATTCGTATGACGGTGCGGAAAATTGCATTATTGCAACGGTATGTCGTCCAAAATCGAAATTTATTATTAGACTGCGGAATATGTGAATGTGCAACAGGAAAGGAGTAAATGCAGTTTCAAATAGTAAAAGGATCGAAAGTATTTGAAAATGACGATGCACAATTTTTAATCTTTTTGAAACAACCAAGAGCGAAGAACGATAACAAAGAACGAAGTTGGTTCATATTTCTTCAAAATCGATGCGGACAATTTCGATTTTGCAGAAAAATCCGCAGTCAATTTTTTCAGAACAAGAGACCGTGTAATAACAGCGAAAGCACTAAAACCTTTCATTTGTTTTTACGACCAGGAATCCCTGGATCGATGGAATAAATTGCCCGCTAAATGCAAGAGAGACAAAAGATTCGTTTCTGTGCTAAATCTCAACTTTCCAGTCCTTCTTACCATTGAACTTTTTAACTTCTTGAACTTCCGACGGCAGCTGGATTTTAGAATGATTTCGTTCAAAATACGTTTCCATTCGAGACCAAAAATTACAGTTACTGTCAAACATTTGACGGGGAAATATCATCGATAGAAAATTAATTTTCGTTCACAGAAAGGGGGTAAGTCATTCGTTAAACTTTAAACGAAATTTTGAAAAAGTAACGCAATTGTTAGAAATAAGTAACTTTTACGTGTCGTGGTTACCAATAACAATTGCAAAACTAATAGAAATATAATAATAATTATAATAATTAATATAATAATTACTGATAACTAGAAATATATATGTATATCGGTTATGAATAATTATCATCATCGACGATCAGAATATTATATTTATACAGAATGTTACATTTAAAAATACTACAAAAGATAGTCGAAGTAAACGAAAAATTATAATGTTTACCGGATGAACAAAATTCATACGTTGATCTTTTATACAAATTTTTCTGTACTTGACTTCTGTAGTGACTTGAGATAATTTATGTTCCATTAGTATTGTCCTTTTGTAATCTCGAATGACCTTCATTTATAGGTCATTGTACTCGAAAGGCTCTATCGAAATATAAATAAAAAACAATATCATCCCATTTAAAAAAATACAAGTTTGACCTTCATATCTCCTTGCTTCCACCAACCAAAAAACTATCGACTAAACGAAAAACTATAACAATGACGTTCATTTATAGGTCATTGTACTCGGAAGGCTCTATCGAAATATAAATAAAAAACAATATCATCCCATTTAAAAAAAAAACAAGTTTGACCTTCATATCTCCTCCTTGCTTCCACCAACAAAAAACCATTGATATTATGTTACGTGCCCCTCGGAATCAAACAACTTTTGCCTGACAAATGTTTTTAATTATTATAAGCGAACAAGTTATTTGGGTGACCTATTTCAGGTGCCTCACCCTGTATACAGCCAATCAATATCCAATGAATTCCGCAACCGTTAGAGTTGTTTACCCATAAAAATCGAAGAGCAGCACGCGCTCGCGACTTCCATTGTTTAACGGACAGTAATACGCGTCTGGCCGGCGTAAACGTGTCGAAACACGCTGCGTCATGTCAACAAGAATGTTTTTTTCCAGTGAATCTGGTGTTTGGACCGTGCGCTCGGTCTCGAACGAAAGTTAGCACGTCGGTATAACTTACTCATTCGCTCGCGTAGTAGAAAAATGCGGAATAATATTTGTATGTATCTGCGCGTCGCTCCTGCAAAGAGCACGCTTGCAAAAGAACGCGGAAAAACACCGTTGACCAGCGTTCCGGCATCATGAAATGTTACGTCGATTCGGGACAAGAAAAATTTACGTCTGTTTCTTAAATTCTTTCCTGCCTTTCGTACAGCAACACGATTTTGCATTATTCGTTGTTTATGCTGCGAATTTTTTAGCACTTCAGATTCGCGTTTTTTTCTCAAACTCAAACAATTTTTATTACCATCCTTTAACACCTTGTGCTATAATTTCTTCCACAACTGTGTTCGTTAGCATTCCTTGTTATCACTCCTTGACGCATTGAAAATTGCCAAGTTCGACGAAATGCACAGACTTTGTCAAATATTTTTCGGCGACGCGGTTTCCAGTGGAATAAAGTTCGATTCTTTTTCTTTAATTGAAAAAAAAACAGAAACATGATTATGATCTTTTTCGCAAAGTTACAGTACTTTAAAGTGACCCTTGCGTTCTACACTGATTTCCGCGGAGTTATCGGCAAAAATGCAAGGGTTACTTCAAAATGCTGTAACTTCGAGAGAAGAAATCGCAGCTGCGTTTATTTTTTGTTCACTTAAAGAGAAAGGATCGAACTTTATTCGGCAGTAAATAACATCTACCAAAAAGATTTGACGAAGTCCGTGCATTTCGTCAAACTCGGCTGTTTTCAACATGCTAATCATGGCCTCGTATTTAAATTGTTACACCGATGATGGTGCATCAAACTTAAAACCCAGAAACACTATCTTAAAATAGAAGTTTCGAGCTTTAATTTAACCCTAGAAAGATAACCATATGACAACGTACGTAAAAGATAACCATACGCTTCAGAGGCGCATGCTTTTCTAAGGCGTCAATTTTATACCAACAATGGATATTTATTTAAGTTAATCTAGTCATTTCAAAGGTTTGGCATTATTGTAAAAATAAAATGCATTTATATTATATTTTTTTATATTTTAAGTAATTTTAAACTTAAATCACTAGACCTCTATGAAAAATTAACAAAAATCAACAGTCTTCGCAGGCGCCTCTGCGACGTAGGTTATCTTTCTCGGGTTAAAGAAAGTGTCATCACTCTACGATGATTTTTCGCGGAGTTATCGTCGATCAAAGTTGACCAATTTCTATTGAAAATTGTTCTATGCTATAATTTCTTTGAGCAGTATAATTTGCGAGCACAAAGTGCAACAGCAATGTCAGTCGGCCGGTGTATTTATTCTCGTGTGTGCTCTGGAGATTTCGCGGTACATCGGGTACTTTCTCTGGCATTAAAAGCCGAAGTCGCAGCGCCAACCGAAAGAGTTTGCGGATCGGTTGCGCGGTCCGTTGGACCGTTGCACCGGCATTTGATTGTGGGCCAACACCCACGTGGCAGAGACAGCCGCAGCGTCGGCGTCGACAGCGGCCTGCATTTGCATGGAACAATATTATTCTAGCCACGAAATCGGTAACTGGCTCATTGACGTGCAAACGCGGCTACGAACGGCTGCGGTTCATCTGGCTCGGGTTACCCCGGATCGTTAATTGGAGCCTAGTTAGTATCTATTTTTTCCGATTGCGTTTACATCTCGCCGGCCAATTGATTCTCGATCGTTCCACTGGTTGCGGCATAAGATTTCAAAGAAAATTAAAATCCAAGTTGCACAGAATATAACCGTTGCGAACAGACTGCGAATTTTATGCNAACTATAAAAACGAGTTGCAAGGCTCGAATAATGGTATCTCCTCTTCCCAAATTGTCCATTTTTGTGCAGAATCGGAGCGTCGATTAGGGAGACATTACTATAATTCGCTCCTCGGTGTTTTCGTTTCTAACACAGGAAATTACAGTAATGTCTCCCCAATTGACGCTTAGATTGTCCACAAAAATGGACAATTTTGGAAAATGAGATACGATTGTTCGAGCCTTGTAGCTTGTTTTTTATGGTTACAGATTGTCAACAACTATAAAAACGAGTTGCAAGGCTCGAATAATGGTATCTCCTCTTCCCAAATTGTCCATTTTTGTGCACAATCTGAGCGTCAGTAAGGGAGACATTACTGGAAACATTACTGCAAACATTACTTGAACATTACTGCAAATAAACAACCGAACGGAAGTGCGATAATAATTTTGAGATATGCTCGGCGTTTCATTAAATGGCAGATCGATCGTTAAAGTGCGCTAAACCTAAAGCCCATAGTTCGCCTCCCACAGAAATATGATAATCGATCGTTTGCCAATCATTTGTTATTCGTGGAAATGAATTCATGTATAATAAATAACTTTCGTGGGTGTCTTTTAGCGAAGCGGAACTTGGAATTTGGCGAATGTATCGGATGACGTGAATTTTGAATATGAAATTCGGTGTTCTATTACAGAATTGCAAATCTTAACCAGGACATCATACATATTCCTTTTTACCAGGCAGTATCTCATCTCTATGGAAATTCGGTATAGGTACACAATTTTCACGGAACTCGAAATTATTTAGAAACTTATTTTCGAGTATACAACGAAATTATATAATATATAACGCGGAAGTATTCGAACGCTAGTATAACTTTGACTTTCTACGCCATGTATTATATTTAAATAGATATACATTAAAGAGAAAAAGTACTTTACGGTGTATTAAAGTAGAATATAATAAATGTCGAAATGCAAGTAACTTCCGATTTAGTATAAAACGTTATCTACATAATTAAAAAAATATAAAGGAACATCGAGTTTTCGTGCACCACAAGTATTCGAACACCTTATAAAATTCAGTCGAAAAGTTACAAAAATAAATTATTTTATTAATTTTTGTTACTAATTTTATACCTCTATTGTTTAACAATATATTTCAAGAAGTTTGATATTTTAAAAATAAGTATTTATTTAACATCGATGTTGTTTTTTTATCTCTATTTTCTACGATTTTATGATTTGTTTATGGTATGTATTATTTTTTTGTTGCAACTCGAATGACCGAATTCACTTTATGGGAATGGACAGTCGTGTATAAGACACGTATAAATATAAGTTGTTATATTTCTTAATTTGTTAATGCATCCGAAGAAATTTGTAAAATTGCATGAATGCACCAAAATGCATTTTTGGTTGATTTTTCCCATGTTACATCAATATCAGCGGGTAAAGTGGCTAAAACTGCATTCCAATTTTATAAATTCCTTCAAATGCATTAACATATTAAGATAACAAATTATATTCCGGTCATTATATTCGGCCATACGAGTTTCAACAAAAAATATCGTACTATAAATAAATCATAAAATCGTGTAAAATAGAGATAAAAAGACATCGATCATAAATAAAGAATGATTTTAAAAATGTCAAACTTCTTGAAATAAAATTAGTAATAAAAATTAATAAAAAATTTATTTAATTATAACTTTTTGACTGAATTTCATAAGGCGTTATTTAATAATAATATTATAAGGCCTTAATATATTTTTAATTATGTAGATAACGTTTTACACTAAATCGAGGGTTTGTTGTATTTTGACATTTATATACTCTACTTTAATATACCGTGAAGTATTTTTTCCCTTCAATGTATATTTATTTAAATATATGGCGTAGAAGTCGAAGTTATACTAGTGTTCGAATATTTTCGTTAATCACTGTAGTTATGAGAGACAAAAATTCTACTACACCACACGATTCGCCAACCATAATCGCAACAGTGTCAAGAACTTACTATGTAATGCGTTTTGACTTGTGCAAATGTTTGTTTTCGCTTATTACCAACTAATTAAAACATTCAACTCTATAACTATGAGTGACTTCAACTTTTCCAAGTGAGTTAAAATACATATATCCCACCATGCATAAAAAACTAAGCAAAAGATGAGACAGTTTTTAACCCACCTAACCTCAAAAAGTTAAACAACGTTCGTCGCACGGTTTCTATTTTATAATTATCGTAATCATAGAGCTGCTTCCATGGGAAATTGTTATTATTTCCGTATTCGGGCACACGTTGTTATGAAAAAAAACTGAAGAATTTAAATCTTTATTTGGCTCACTTAGAGTTAATCATTAACATTTTACATATCTTGTAACTAATTCTTAGGTCATTCTCATTTGCATACAAAATTCCTTATTTACCTAATGTAAAAGGACTTAAATAAAATAAAATAGAAAATGAATAGAATAAAAAGTAATTCCATCTCCTACATACCGATCAATGATAATAGCCGTAATATAAATGAATAATTTTGTTTAGGATTGTCTCGTGGAAAAAGAATATTGAAATTCCTCTTGGTACGTCACAATAATTAAAAATTCTATTAACAGGCTTCGGTTGGGTAAAGTGTTAAATATTTAGCGGCTTTTAGCTTGTTCGAGGTTGATAAATTGATACGCCGAGACTCTTTGTTCGCAGATCGAGCAAATCCGATTGCAACTGCGACCAACTAAGAAAATTTGTCGACGAAACGAGCAAAATGCTCTCAATTTCAAAGTAACCATAAACTTTCCTTTTATGCGAGCTGTACGCGAAAGTGGAGGCGGGACGTCCCGCCTCTGCGCCGTAC